CCATGTCCTAACTCTGCTTGTCCTCAGAATCTGGTTGTATGCTGTGTTGTGCATCAATTTACAGGAGGCTTCCTTCTGGAGCTACAGCCAAATTGCAGACCAATTTGATGCAGTTTGTAGCTCATGCTCTGAGCACTGACACGCTGACCCCCCACCTCTTCAACTTCTGAAGCAATGCTGGCAGTACTTACACGTCAGTTTTCACAGAAAAAACTCTATATGATGCTGAGCCCATACACTATGCTGAGGTCTGTTCTGACAATGTGTTCTGTAAAGGCACCATCCTGTAGCTCTGTGTTAGGGGTTATCTTCATATCTTACTATAACCTAGGCCAAAGAAAATATTCTGTTGTTCAGATCTTAAAGGATTTCTTTTCCATGAGTTGCCATGTTGAAATTCCAGTTATAAATATGAGAGAGTCTGAGAGCAATACATTTAAATTCAACACATGCTTCACATCTACATTATGAGACCCTACAACACTACCAGGTCATTTGACCCCGGGGAGCAAAAATGATACGTCTGGAACAATTTGGATATTTTCCCTTTGGCTTTACTTCCTTTAGTTGCTAGAGGTTTAAACATTAATTGCTGTTTGTAGAGTTAAGACAAGAGGACAGAAAATGTACACTATTATGCAAGCTCTAACCTGACTACTTTAAGGTGTGTCATATCATCGCTGCTGTCCAATGAATAGATAAGATAAATTCTGCGAAAATGTTGGAATGAGTTACTCTATTCTTACATTATTTGTCCATTTGTTTTTTCAATCAACCAGGTTTTATGAAGTTTCCATGAAGCTAGTTAAGTATTGTGGCATTAATAACAAACAAATCCTTTGGGGGGTTTGACAGGACCCAAATGCAGACACAAAAGAGGTGGCACTGATGGCTGGGACCAAAGAGTTTGAATAGAAGAAGAGGTGGGTACTTGAAGGCTTAATTACAAAAGTTCAACAGAAGCAAAAATCCAAAAACATGAATCCACAAAAATCCCCAAAAAATGCTGAAAATCAGGAATGCTAACAATAAGAAGAGGACAAAGTAATGATGACAACCCAGCAAAGAGTGACTGAGCAGGAGGAGAATAAATGGGAGAGAGAAACAAAGACCAGGCGGCTTAGCAGATTGGGAGCAGGTGTGAACAGAGAAAGAAGAGAGGTAGGGAAAAGGAGACACAACAGGGCAAATAGGAAATATCTAAGAACTCAAATACAATCAAAAATACCTATAACACAACAATGAAAAATAAGACCAATAAAAACTCAAAGATAAAACTTGGAACAAAACCAAAACCATGACATCCTTCTCAGATCTTTAAAAACATATCTAAGCCTTGAAAGTAATAGATCTGAAAGGAAGCTTAACAGAACATTGCTGTGAAGAATATCGATGTCTCAAAAATCCAACCTGTATTACCAGCATTACTTTACTTACAGCGCTTTTGGCATTATGATGGAAGTGTTAAGGTAGGGATAAGGAGAAATGAACCAGATAAGATGAAACAGTCTGCAAAGTTTGCTCAAGCAAGTTTATTACTGTCAAGGTCCATGAAGGTTAAACAAACATATAATAGCACACTGCAACTGCATCAGTTTAAAATTTGTGTGAGGTTTTGTCACTTTAAGAGATTTATTGCAGAAAATGCTTTGTCATCCATCAAAGCTTAGGAGAAGGAAATTTGTTATACCAAAATAAAATACCAAAAATTGCTAGAGGTTGATTACATGGTGAGAATAAACAATTATTATGTGCAACTTCTTAAGCAAAAGAGCCTCACAATATATTGAGACATAATCATTGTTGTAAAGGATTTTAAGTGTATTAAAGTGATGTGTATATTTCCTTTTAGGATAATTAAAGGCCCAAACGTATCACATACCTTGCTCACCCATTGGAAATAAATTTAGGTAAAAATGGTTGACATAATCTACTGAGAAAAATGGCACTCCATCAGAAACATTATACAACATATGACATAAATTGTATCAACAGTTTTGTGAGATAATCATGATTATTACATTATTATTGTTTTGGAGTCTGTATACCATGTGATGATTACTGTTCCTATATTTTAAACTGAGTTTCACCAACATTTCACACTTTAAATTTAAAACATGTGAAAAACTTCAAATTACATATTGCAACAGCCGTTGTAATATATCAGATATATGAACGTCCCAAATCTCTGCTCCACCCTCTTAGTATCAAAGAGAGCACATGAAAAATAACAGGTTTTAAAGGCCAAAGAGCCTTAGTCTTTCCACTACTCCAAACAGAAGCAACAAGGATGCCATACCCTTTGGAAAAGGAGGTTTAATGGCTAAACATGCTTAAAAAATAGGGCTAAGAGGTTTAATGGGATTCAGCAAGAGGCATAATTAGGTAATATCCTCCAATGGGGGGAGATAAAAGGAACCACTTCTTACTTTTCGATTTCTTTACTCTGTAATATAAACCTCTTACAGAGTACCACAAGTTGTAAAAGTGAATTTTGAGATTTAGAATTCACTTTTACTGCTCTTGCAATGTCATCTTTAGAGGCTTTTCTTTAGATCTGTTTTAGCAGAGGTGACATTCAGCAGGAGACTAGATGAGAAAAGGCCCCCGACGGCTCAGCCTTTAAGCATGACTATTGTTTCCCCATCTGTTAAGGTAAAGCTCAGCCCAAAAACTTTCCTACTGAATTTATTACTTCAAGTTTGAGCCCCAACAGCTCTTCACAGCTATCTGAATGTTAATTATTTTATATTTTCTAAGCTACTGTAGATGTAAAGACAGATAGTAGTTATTATTATTATTTTTTTTTTTTTATGAAATATTCTTTACAGCTGAATAATGTACTCATTGGTGTGCAAATATTTTTAGCTTCAACCTTGAGCCATTCAAAAGTGTTATTATATGTAGTTTCTCATACTGTGCATTGTTAGTTGAATAGTTGGCATAAATAAGATATGTGCTTCAGTATCAAATTCAAAGTCCTGGGTCTTTTGAGTTGCAATTCTTTTCTAGCTCCAATAAATATTTTTTTTAACTGGCAATAATGTATATATTTATGTTAAGATATAACATAAACATGCTGGAGTTTGAAAATATTTAGGGGGGTTGGAATACTTCTGCACTTTTTAAAGCAATGTTTGAATAGCCGGGATTAAGGTAAAACTTGTGTTTCTACATATTTGTCCAATGTTGTGTAAATGCTAATTAAGCCTGGTCTGTGTGAAAGGTAGTTAGTATGCTGTCCTAATCTTCCAAGATGACTGTGAAAAGTCTAATACAAAAATAGATTTCCTGGAAGTCAAAGAGTCAACACATTGAGTACTTTGATTGTGACGTTAACGATCTTGTTTTCAGCAAATAACAGTCCTGTATAGATTTCTGTTTTCTTTTTTTTTTTTTTTTGTTCTTCTTGCTAGATTTAAACAGTAAATAAATGTTGTAGTTAAAAAGTGGGGAATTTGCATTACCAAAAACATCCAGTGGAAATGCTTTTTTTCATGAAAAGGGAATCTTCTAGTAAAGGACAAACAGCTGTGTGTTGTTAGGCTCGATGTAGTCCACACCTGCTGCTCCTATTATCTTACCACATATGCAGCTTTATGTTGCACCATTTATTCCTAGCAGTTCCCCTCACATTATATTCATGAAACAATAAATAACAATGTTCCCGGAAAACAATTTATTCACGTTTTCTATTTAAATAATTTCAAGATACTTCAAAGTTGACAATGCATCATTACTTTGTTTCATTTGGATTCATAAACCCATCCAACACATTTCTGGCATGTTGAGGCAGAACAAGCTCGTTATATTTAGTCAGACACCAAGTCTCCTGCTAATGAATGCTGCTGGCAGGGTGTCTGTGTGCCCTGAGGAGATTACAGGGAACACTGGTAATGTGTGTCCTCTCTATAAATGAGCAAGACAGAATGACAGACAGACACTGTACAGTTGCTATTGTGACTTTCTTTAGAGCATAGCGGATAGAAAGTTTTATTGTTGTGGCCAAAGGGTTCAATTTCAAATATCCAGCACAATGTGATTCTCTGGTCTCTGTTCTTCTTAAATTGACTTTAATAGGGCTCATCCATCCATGGAAACCATGCTTCCATTATTATATCATTGCCGGGATTTAAGTACTCACACACAATATATATATATATATATATATATATATTATATATATATTTTTTTTTGATATATATATAATGTTAGGAGAAATATGACATTTGATAGTAATAAAGTAACAATAACAAATGTTGATTCCTGCTTTGCGCTAAGCTTTTGTAGAGGTGGAGCAGGTAAAATCTATCATTTAAGTTTATTTTTAGCGATTTAAACCAACAGTGTCTAAGTTTTTATCTCGAGATATAAATAAATATTAAAACACTAAGCCCCCATAATTTTTCAATAAAAGTATATAATAATTTAATATATAACTTCGAGCACAGCATGTCTTTAATTAAAATAAATATATATTTGCCAGAAAAAAATTGCTCTGAGTTATACATGATTATGTTTGTTTATTAATGTGAATGATCAAAAAGTTATTAGCAGCAGTTAGATTTCCTCAGCCTCTCATGCCAGTTCGATTTCCTCAGCTCTGCTTGGAGCTCCGCTCTCTATTAAACTAAACCAATATTATTGCTGCCTTGGGGTGATTTGACTATTTTTAGTTGTATTCGGTTCTCTGCTGTGTGTTTAGCAGTGATATTTGCCGTGATGTGGACACATTCTGCAGTAGGTTTTCAGCATCAGTGTATTTTCCTTCTTACCAGCCAAACAGACTGATGATCACAGTAAGATAAAAAGGTTATGAGACATAAGGGACTATTTAATAAATTTTTGCCAAAACCCCACTTAATGGCATCCTGTTGCCTGGGCTAAAATTTGATGTCACAGATCCTTATTTCTCTTTAAAATGGATTTAAAAAAAATCTAATTAAGAGATAGAAATCATGTTTCACTTTTTAAAAAATGATACTTTTGTTCTCTTTCAGGGTCTGACTTTCAGTGTACCACTCACGTAATCCCAGTGAAGAATGAAGAAGGCGTGGTGATGATGTTTATTTTGAATTTTGATTACATTGTGGATGAAGGAAGTGACCACTCTACGGAAAACATAAGCCCTGCATCCCCTGCAAAGTCAGATCAAAGTGAGTATCAGATGTACCAGAAGTATATTAGTGACCTTCTGTAAATAGCACCCCATCTTTCCATGCTGTGTGTGTAATAATTTTTTTTTTTTTCACTCTGCTCCATTGCTCCATACCAGAATTTACGATCAAGATAAAAATGGCAAGGCAAGTTTACTTACATGGCATATTTGAGAAGAAAGACTCAAAGACAATTACAAGTAAAAGAACATTAGAGTAGCATGGAGGTGACATGAATGATTAAAGAGAAGAAAGATTAATAATCAAAAAAATATATGTATTTTATTTATTTATTCATTTATAAATAATATATGTATAGTTTAATAGCAATGTATTTTACATTAGAAATTAATATATATTTATTATTTATTGAAAAAAAATGAATCAAAATATTGATTGCAAAACAAAAGATTGATTAGTTATTTTTATAGAATATAATCAATTACCACTTTTAATCTTTATTTATTTAAAGTAATTTTAGGTTTAAATGCAGGTGGAGATTTCTGGGAGTTTATTCCAGATTATTGGAGTTTTGGGACTGCAGAGTAGATTTAAGCTAGAAGAACCGAAAGGTCTGGGCTTTTCTCTATTTCAACTACCAAATTTCTTTTAAAAAGGTTTTTTTTTTTTTTTTTGCTTCATATCAGTAGTTACCTGATTGGTTCAAGCCTTTTTCTGCTGACTCTATTAGTCCCACCTGTCAAATTGCTGCTCGTCTCCATTTTGCTGGCCAGGCTAATATCCGTGAGTCCTGAAGTGTTATACAAGTGGGGCTTCTTTAAGTGGCACTGTGAATAGATGTAGTAATAATTACAATAAGATAATAATGCTTTGAAACGGCAAATTAGATAACCCTACAAAGCTATTAAGCACAAGAAGATGAATGATGAGGTGTCTATATTTGCCTTTGTTTTGTCAGAAAATTCTTAGCTGAAAATTTGAGAAGAGAACATTTTGATAACAAGTGTAACTAGTGATACCTGCTGTTGACTTTCTGTATCTGTGCACCAATATGGGTTAACATTTTATCTAAGAAAAACTTATTTGTTCCAGCAAAGTTATAAAACTGCTGAGATTCACACAGTTCTGTGCTCAGTTACTATACTTACTGCTATTATCAATACAATGTTACAACAACTAAGATGTCAGCATACTTTTAATATTTAATTAAATACATTTTCAGAAATATAAATAAACAATTTAGACCGGAGATGTCCCTAAGTTATAGGATATGTCAGAAAGCCATATTTAATTTGTAGGTTAAGGTTGATTGGAAATCTTCAATTTACCCACTTGAATTTCGATTTAATGGGATATTTCTGTTACCTCCTCAAATAGAAATGTAAAAGCACTATTATTGTTCCTTGAACCTATGATATCAATAAAAGATAAAGATATTCTTTTCTTCTTTTGTTGTTATGGCATAAGACAGCTGACAACATGCTGAATAGCTATTTTAGAAAGACCGCTAAGATGATGGTATATGGGTATTTCAATATTTACTCTGTATGCCCTCTCTCCCTATAGAGAAAGTGGTTTGCCTTATTAGGCAGCCAGCACAGTCCAGTTTACAAGGATGCAGTAACAAGTCCCATGTGAACACAGCGATGTAATGGTTTGCTTTGCTTTGCTCGGCTTGCATCTTTGTATTTTCAATTTAATGTGTATCCGATGTTCTGAAAACAATGAAACATTACAGGCTAGCTATATATTCTTTTCTCTGTATCTGCAGGGCTTTTTCAGTCAGATTGTGCTGCACAGTGTTCATATGTGAATATTATGTCTCTGCATGCAGCCATGCCTCTTTGCTTGGCGCTAACATCGCTAATCAGAGTTGATGGCTTGTGATGAGGTTTCAAAAAGAGAACCTGTGGGTACATGAGACAGATGAACATACGATGTGACTTTAGATTAGTGGAGTCAGAGAGAAAGAGTCTTTTCCCTCACACACACAGCCCATACTTAAAGCATGACCTTAATATTGTCTTTGACTTTGAATTTATCTTACACAACAGGAAGGAATTAACAGACTTGAGACTTCCCGACTGAAGCTGTATTTGAACAAGATCCTTTGCAGAGTCTTACATGTGATATCTTAAATTCAGACATTATTGCAACTGTTTAAGGGCATTAAAATTAATTATTTCAGAAAATATCATTATATTTTTTCAACATTAAGTTTGTGTTAACTTAATGATGTATGTTGCAAAAAGAGATCTAGAGTTTGTCATTGTGGCTCATATTAAGATGCCAAGCCAGAATTTTTAATTACATTCAATACAATTCAAAATTCCTTTATTACTCCTGAAGGGAATTTAAATGTTGCAGCAACTCTTGTAATTTTTTACAAAGGTAATACAAGCTACATATAAAGGTAATATTAGAGGCAAGCTAGCAGAGTTACTCCAACAGCATAATTAAGCAGCATAATCCTAGAATATGCAATAATGTGTTACTGCTTCTTAAAACGTGTTGTTTTCTGCCTCTTTTGCATAAGTTTTACACATTTTGGGTGTTTTATGTGGAAAAGCTTTCATTGCAAACTTCAGTTTCAAAATTGCTCCTGCTAAACTAATTTTCTTCTTCCGACTATTACCAAGCACTTTATGAGAAAAGCTACGAATGGACAAGGAAACTTGGTGATCTTCACACCACATCTTTTAATATGAAGTCCCATTACAGCAAGGCAATATTGAAACCACTCTTTTATTAGATAGTGTTACAGATGCATCTAACAGCAGTTGCAGTTTCATCTCTGTCTTGGGCTCATACAACCATAAAAGGCTTTTTGTTCCCTCCTTATTGTTTCATAATTTATTGCAAATATTACCTATATCACTCAGAGACAAACAATAACTCTGCATTGGACCTTCTTTCTACTTTTCTCCTTTAAAGAAATACAGTATGATTTTTGATATTTTTTGATTTCCTCTAATGCTTTGTAGGCTGCATGTATGTGCAATGTGTAGCATTACTGCCTTGCAGCAAAAGGGTTCTAAGTTCAATTCCCGGCCCAGGAAGTGTGTGTGTGCATGGTTGTGTGTCTCTGTGTTGCCCTGCGACAGACTGGGGACCTGTCCAGGGTGTACCTGGCCTCTCTCCCACCTCTCTCACTGCAGGAGATACACACCAACCCCACTGCAAACCTGAAAAGGACTAAGTGGGAGAGGATGAATGGATGGATACTTTGTAGTTATTGATGGTCAATTTCCAACAAGAAGAGTCATTAAAACAGATTAACATTCAATGGCAAGTTTATAATGTATATTTTGCTGGGATATATTTTGTAGTGTGGGACTCTGGAGGGCATGGGTGCTCAGCATACTTGTTTTCAACAAACTAGTTTTACAGTACCCGGTAGATCATTTGAGCTTTTTGACATGACGCATTATCCTACTGGAAGCAGCCATCAGAAGATGAGTCACAAAGAGATTAACATAATCTGCAACAATCTAAGGCATGTGGCATTCAAACAGGGCTAAGTTTGTATAAAAGGGTTCAAAGTGTGCAAAGAAAATATCTCAACACCATGATACTACTGCTACTTGCCAGAAGCATTGAAACAAAGCAGAGTAAATCCATGCTTGCCTCAACATTCAATGTGTAGGGTATTCAGATACTTTTCTCTACATTTTTAACCTTAGCTTTATATAAGTAAGGGTTACTTCAATGGCTGTGTGTAGTAATTATCCCTTGACATCTGTCACTGACAAGTAATTTTTATTCACACAGCTTCTACTTATTGGATATTTTCCCATTTACCTGTAAACAAGTGAGATGGCAATGCATAAATGTCTTGATGAATCATTACTTTGAAAAAACGGACCAATCTAGAACCGAGGCCTTTTTTCTTTTCCATTCTGTTTCAGTTTCAGCTTTGCTGATTTGATATTTGTGCGAGCAATTAATATATACTTATACATCCTAAATAAATGAGGCCTTTGAGTGTGTTTGACCATCTCTAATCCTTATGACAGGCTATACATTCTCATGCTCATAACATTAAAAATAATAAAAAGTTAACTTTTTTAAGCATTTAAAAGCTGCTTTTTTTATCATGTCTGGTTGTGAGGCAATTGCATTACAAGTTCATTTCATACACAAACAGTCCTTATTTTGAACGGGCCAGTTGTTGATAGACCATGTGGCTTTCCTCTTTCTATAAATTTACATGTAAAAACAAACAACCCATGCATTAAACACTGAAACTGAACTCCTGCCTTGTTGTATGGTTCTGCATGTAAACCATGTAAACCATGGCTTTGGAGTTGTCTAACAACTACTGCTACTGTTAAAAGTCAGGATAAGTTTAGCTTTATATAATAAGAATTAGCTATTTGCTATGGTTCAAAAAGGCTCTTTAAATGTCAGCTTTATGGATAAAAAATTAATGATCTTGATTTTTTTTTTTTTTTTGTAGGGAGGAGCCGCTTCTTTCGCTTCCGTCAGGTCGCTTTGAGCCTGATGAACACCAACAAGCAATCTCTTCCCCAAGAGGACCCAGATGCTGTGATGGTGGATTCTCCCAAAGAAGATGAGGACTCGGTGGCCTTGCAGAACTTTCCCTCACCCACAAAGAGTATTTGCAGTCCTTCTGACGCCAATGACACGCACGCCCTCATAAGCTCCAGCCACCATTCTTCCCAGCCTAGCATCGGCCCTGAACCACTTGATCATTCATCCCTCAAAGTCCCCTGGGACAAGCTGTACCAGACAGAGCCTCATCAGTCCTCTACCTCCCTGTCAAACACTTTCCCCAGAGGAAGCACCAGCAGCATGAGGAGAGCCTCATCTATCCATGAAATTGAGGGCTATAGCTCCAATTCAAAAAGTGCATTCAGGGACCGGCATACAAATGAAGGTACAGTATCTACACTGTTATGATTTATATCACAATTATATATAAGTAACTCAAACTGTAAGGGATCTCAAATATGTGCTAGAGAAACTCTAGATACCTCAAAGAAAAAAGCTAGCCTGTAAACTTTTTGCAGAAAAGTTACCAGCTGATTCAAATAGAAAGAAAAACTTGTTTGTGCCTGAAAGTAATATAACTGGCATGCAATATAGAATTGGGACATACATCTATAAATGCAATTCTTATGGTATTGTTTTTGAGAATGACTTCTGATAGTATGATTGTCCTGTTTACTAACAAGAAAATATGTCAACTTAGGGAAGGATATTAAGTTCTGTATATACATGCATGCATTATGTTCCATCTAGTCATTTCTTGTTTAAATGAAACATGATACATAAAAATCTATGTAAAAAGTTTATTTTACATAGATACATATTTGATATCAAAGTGTATTTATTTTATTGAGAATAATAAATATCAAGCTCATTAATGATGAGTTGGTTGTAAAATTATCAACTCACTGAGTAAACTCAAAGTGAAATGACAGGTAGTGTGAGTGTGAAGTGTTAGCACCGCATGAGCTTTCCTGGAAATGGAAAAGTACATCTATGGCTCTTTTAAAAGATTAGACTAATAAATAAAGACTGTTTCCAACAAATACGAGGTCAACAAATGAAACGTGATGTCTTAAGACAAACATGACATGAACATTTCCAAAAAGACAAACAGGAACTACTGACATGCTTGTTCTTCTTTTACAAAAAATTCAATGAAGTCAAGGAGGAGAAACACTTCGCCTTAGTTATGATGAAATACATAACATAAGATACTGGAGCATTACATTTTCAGTGCCTCAGCTGTGAACATAAGCTAATTATTATCATAAGCCTATTCCTGAGAGTCCAAAGAAGAAAGGTCTGGTTTCATCAAAATGCTTTCATGTTTTTTGGTGGACTTCAGAACCTCCAGAGAAACTGTGCTCGTCTTATCCTTCTTCCTCCTTTCTTTTAAGTTGTTAATGTCAGTAATCAGCCACAGGCATTTTTTTTTTTTACTTTTAATTTATCCCTAACGGTATACTGTACAGTATCTGAAAGTAGTGTCAAAGCTAACAAGAAAAGTGTGAAAGATTGCAAAATTGAGAAACTCTTGAAGCATTACTACATATTGTGCAAATGTTCATTTAGTGTGTCTTGTATTCTCTGTACTTAGTTGTTTTTCGTATCAAACTAGAGAAGTAAGGGATGATGTGAAGGACTTTTCTAAAATAGTGTCATTTATTTATTTATTTATTTATTTATATATTTATTTATTAGTTTAAATATTTATTTTAATGAAAGTGGCATTGGTTAAGGAAAATGAATAACCAAAGATATGACATTATATTTTTACAGTGGTTTACTATAAATGTCCTCAGTCAGTATAGTTATATCTTTGTTAGGTCGTTCTACAGAAAATATGGAGAAATTTGTTTTTGAAAGTTCTTTTAATTTTATTTTATTCAATTTAAAAATACTTTATTAATCCCAAAAGGAAATTAAATGCTGCAGTAACTCATAGCTTTTGTTGTTTTTAATCGGTTGTTGTGAGTGTTGATACCTGTAGGCAGGAAGGATCTTCTGTATTAGTCTGTTTTGCACTGAGCTGGAGAAGTCTCTTACTGAAGACCCTCTGCTTTCATTAAAATATTTTCTGAAGAGGATGCCCAATGTTCTGCATAATTTCTTCCCTTTATGAAGAATTATTGTGTGTGAAATAACCTCCGGAGGTTGTAGAGGAGTTCCTAGAACAGAGCTGGCCTTCTTTATTAGCTTGTTGAGCTTTTCTAAGTAATTTATTTATTCCAAATAAAAAAAAAAAACAACAAACCATATTGCTACTATGATGTTACAGTAATAAACATAAAGATTTCTTATGCTTTGATATTTAAATAATTTAAGAGAAAATGTGTTCTTTTTATTGATAGAGTTAAAAAACTGTGTTTTTTTTATAATCCATTATATGGAATGAGATAATAAAAAATAATTTGTATTGTATTGGATAATTCTTCACTTAAACAAATATGTTTTCCCATGAATTACCAGGCCATTTCAACCATGTGAAGTCCAGTTTGCTTGGCTCTACCTCTGATTCAAACATCAACAAATACAGCACCATCCACAAAATCCCCCTGATTGCATTGAACTTTACAGAAGGCACAGATAAGAAGGCTCATTCACCCCCAACCTCTGAGAAAGCCATCATAGCACCGAAAGTCAAAGACAGAACTCACAATGTCACAGAGAAAGTTACACAGGTGAGTTAAAAGATGTCATTTTTTCAGAATTGAAATTCTGTATTGTATGCTTGCTGTTGTACATAAAGGAAATTGGCAATATTCATGGGACGCTTTAGGTGTGATATTGAAGAATCACAGTATAATGCTTCTATTTTTCATAAACAGACTGCTGCCATTGTGGTGGCTGAAGCTGACGATAAACCAGTTTTTCCCTAATATCTCAATCATACATTGATAAATGTATGTTTGTGCGAGGGAGTCTTTACCTTTCTATAAAATCAGTAATTCATGTTTGTTTTAAATATGGCAAATACAGAATTTAGAAACACGTAAACAAGTGACAGATAAGAAGTTATACATTTTTTATAGTTTATTAATTTTAAATACAAATGTAAAAGTAAGATTGTTTGATCCCACCAGTTAAACCATACTATTGTTTTAATTATGACCACTGCTTTGAGGATCACTATGGAGAAATACAACTGCACAATGCATGATTAAATGTGTTTAAAATCAGAAGCCATACCATTACAATACTTATCTGACATATTTAATTGCAGTTATGGTTCAAAACATAAGTACTGCTAACAAGGATGCCTTTCTAATTCAGCTTGGATTAAAAAAAATAGCTTTAATTACATAAACAATTCAACATAAAATATGGTCATAAATGGTAATTCAATTAAAATTGATAATTCTATCACAATGGTATGGCATTTGTACTGTGAAAAAGTGAAACTACAGCAAAGTTCAAATACAAATTGCCAACCCAACACTATTGTTTCTACATACTGGTACTGTTAAAGAGCAGAGTTGAAGAGGCCAACCCATTGTTCTAAAAGCCAATACATATTCTGCAGAACAGCTAAATCTGCTTTCCCCACAAGGGCTGCAAGCATTTATTCATTTACTCATCTTATTCTGCAACACTGCTTTGGGAGTTCCTGCATCTTGTTTTTTTACACATTTCTGCATTGTGTTACCTGCAAAAATGGCAATTACAGTATATTAATCAGGTGTAGAGGCAGGTGAACATCTAAATGTTACAGGTCTATACAAGTCTTTTAGATGGAGACATAGGTTCTAAAATTTTAACCTTTGATTAGTTTGTGTAGCTGTAAACTTAAACATTGTGCTTATGAATACCCATAAAGTAGATATGTATGGATGTCAAATGTCTGGAGGGGTAGTTAGATTTTTAAATTGGAGTGGACTGTAAAATTCCACCCTCAGATCGTCTGAGAGCAAAAAAACTATACCTCTGTATCAGGACTATGTCAAATTTGTGTGTCTAGTATTAAAAACTCCATATCTTTTTGAAATTGCATATAAACAGTCCTTTGTAATTGTATGGTGGCACTAGTGGATATTGGAAAAACAACTGCAATGTGATATGTTGTGCAGCTCCATTAGCAAAATGCAAATAAAACAACATGCAGAGAAATCTGTAAATTAAATGTCTTTCAACATAACAGCATGTTTCTCTTAGATGATGCAGCACCATCATTAATTAAATGCTTTTCCCCTTCCACTCTTTGATTTGAGGTTATGAAGTTCTGCTGACATATAAACGCTGCATGTACTCCCTGACTGCTTGCAAGGCCAAATTTATAATTCATGTGTTTGAGACAGGATGTGCTGAAAAGAACAGAACCAAGAAAGAGATCCATGGCCCTCATCATTACTGACTGACACCCTATTTTCTGCTTTAAGAGAATCCTATCTTTTTTACAGTTAAACTAAAAAACAAGAGAAGCACACTTAGCACCAATAAAAAACACTTAATAAGCCAGAATACATTCATCTTAAAAATCAGAACCAAACTTTACTCATTAAAGAAATTGAATGATTGTCTTTTTTTCATCACTTTATGATGCGTACGTATCTGTGGAATATTGATTTATCTGTAAATTTTAGGTTTGCCAGCTGTTAATATAACTTTGTAAATTTAAAATAAGAAATCCTAATTAAACTGTCAAAGGTAGCAAACCTGTTACAGTGGCTCAAAATTGAAATATGTAAAATGTAAATAAATATCAAAATAGATAAACTGCCTCTCTTTCCACTCCTCAGGTCCTGTCTCTAGGAGCAGATGTACTTCCAGAGTACAAACTCCAGGCACCCCGCATTGATAAGTTCACCATCCTCCACTACAGCCCCTTCAAAGCAATGTGGGACTGGCTGATTCTGCTGCTGGTTATCTACACAGCAATTCTCACTCCTTACTCTGCTGCTTTCCTACTCAATGACCAGGAGGAGCAGAGAAGGCGTGAATGCGGCTACTCCTGCAGCCCTCTCAATGTGGTAGATTTGATGGTGGACATCATGTTTATTATTGACATCCTCATAAACTTCAGGACCACCTATGTTAATCACAACGAGGAAGTGGTTAGCCATCCAACTAAGATAGCAATCCATTACTTCAAAGGATGGTTCCTAATAGATATGGTGGCGGCGATCCCCTTTGACCTTCTGATCTTCGGCTCGGGATCAGATGAGGTTTGTTGACTTTAAAGTATACTCTGTATTTTTGATCCCACTTTTTATGTCTTTAACTTTGTCTTACATCAGATTTCATTGCTTTATTAACTGGATTTGTTCCAAAGGGGAGCTCCTTAAAGCTCAAAATTGTCTCTTGGATATGAAAGGATTATTTCAATTAGTTGTTTTTCCCTTGTATAATTCTTTACATCTCTCTTTTTTTCTGAATGGTCCTCATTCTAGTATCCATTTGCATGGATTAAAGGCTTACCAAATGGCAATCAATGGTGCATTTATGTGAGGACCAGACCAGAAGGGTTATGTACACAGCTGGTGATGTTAGAGATGGTCATTGGCGGGCTGACTGCCAGCTCTGGCGGCTTGTTTGTCTGGCAGGATATTTCCCCTAAGGCTCTGGATACACTTCAGGGCTTTATCATGCTTCGTGGTCACTCCATTACACCAGGAAAGCTCCCGATTATAGACCATAATCATCTTTTCTATCACTGCTGCTGCCAGTGCTGAGTCACTAGATCACAGCAAATCAAAAAGGAAATGGGCTTTTTTTCTTTTTTTCAAAAAAAGAAAAAAAAAATGGCTGGCTTCAGCAATTTCTCACGGTAATTGACACATGATGATGACATCTCAGTTCATAGTTTCTAATTATAGCCTCTTAGCTTAGTGCTTACATGTTTCAGAATAATCATGCAAAGTTCCACTCGGTTTTGTTTTCAATTTGGAAAGGAAAGCAAGTGAAGCAGTGGCAGATGGTTTTCACAAGGCTCATTTAATTTAGAAGCTTAACAAGAGGATTGAGGCTCCAAGCAGTTAAGCACACATTAATATCAGCATAAGGAATGTGTAAAAATGTGGGATTTTAATGGCAGTGCACTGTACCAAAAGATTGCTGACACTGTGAAATTAAGTAAGAGTAAAATATGTGGCACGAATTAAGAAAAATATGAGTTAGAAAGAAAATGAGTGCACCTTAACTGTTCTTTGCAAGCTGTTCAACCTTGACATATTAGAAAAACCAAAATTATATGTTCAAAATGTTTGTGTTCCCAATAGAGATGAGCATTAAGAAAAGGAAGGTACAACTCTTTTTCTACAACCCATTCATTTACATTTCAAAGTGCTTTACTTAAACTACAAGATTTGATTGGTGTTGGCTTTGTTTTTAAGCTAATTGATAAAACCACATAAGTTATAGTGCTGCAGTGCTGACCCATATCTTTCACTGTATTTAAAATAAAAGTTAGAGCAAATTTGGACCAAACACCTCAGTACAAAAGGAACTGATTTTAGTAAATCTAAGTCAGGAGCGCAAACGTTTATTTACTAGCCTTTAAAAATTTAGTCATGGCCTATAGGTGTTAAAGTACAGAGCTTGGCTGTTGGTTTTTACTAGTAAAAAATAGCCTGAATGGAAGAGAGAGACAGAAGACACAACAATCAAAAGAAAACAATGGAATACAGTAAGGGAACATAAACGCCAAAAATTAATGGTATTATTGGCAAAGTTTATATATAATACACAAAAAAAGCCTAAGAAATTATAATGACAAAAAAAACGACATAATTAGATAACATTATATAGAAAATACACAGTATTAATCAATGTTACTGACAGAACTTAAAGACCTAAAGATATTAATTATGGGTCCACCAAAAATGAAAAATACAGTATTCTGAGTTATCTTGCAACACTGAAACAAATGAGCTTGGTGCTCACTCTGCATCACCAGACTGTCTGCTTTAGTGACAGGATCCATCTGTCCATTTAAACTTTGATTATACAATATATGTGATATTTAAGAAACATCTGTTTTTATACAATTTAATTTAGACCCAAGGAAACATGATTAATGTTTTTTTCTTGTTTTTTGGGGGGATAAATTAACAATATTTTGCTTCTAAACCAAACATTATCAGTAAAATAAGGCAAAATACAACTTGCAGCAAGGATCAGTGGCCCAAGGCTGATTATATCAAAGCATAAACTTAGTGGATGTTATACTGCATTAACTGAATATGTTACAGTTGTATAAGGTTAATTTAAAATGCTTAAAAAAACAATGTTACGTCAAAATCTTTAGCAGATATTTGGGCAAGGTAGACATCTGGACATCAGTGCACTTACAGATAAAGTAATAAGGTACTGTATATATGTGTGTATTTTCACAGGGACAAAAATAGGCCTGCTAATCATGGGCAGAACGAGTAACTAAGCAAAAAGGAAACGTATTTGTCAAGTACTACAAGTTAGAATTTAAATAAAATCATTTAAATAAACATCATAAACACTATCGCCTTAACCACACAACAGACTGGAAGGTTAAAAGAAAGATTACTGAAGAATCATGCAATTCACATGTTACAGTTTGTGATGTATGCATCCAAAATGCTTTTCATTGTAGGAAGAGTCTGTCTTTGTTACCACTTCTTTAGGGAGCAGAACCTTTTCAATACCTTTAAAATTAACAGGTATTGATCACAACTTTTTAAAAATCCTGGCCAATGGAAATCTCCCATTGTTAAAATTGATCCTGCTTTTGTTTAGAAAGCCTCTCTTTTAGCTTTATCAATTTAAATCAATACATAGTTGAGTTTCCATAAATATACCAAATAGTGTGACAGGTAATCCTACTCTTTATATGGAATTTCTTACCTGTATGTCGATGCAGAAAAAAAAAAAAATATTTTCTTTAAGCTTCATGCGCCATAATGAGCACAACTTCAATACTAGTTCCAGATAACTGCAACAAAGTACATATGGGAGGGGTATGGGATCCCTTCTAAGCAAAGCATAGACACACAATGGCCTATAGCCAAGTCACTGAAAAATATATACCAATATTTGTTGACAACTCTTTTAATTTCCTTTGGTTATTGGGGAAAATTATTGGTCAATACAATTTTGGAGTTACTGTATAAGGAGGGTTTAGTGCTAAATCTCCATCCTTGCCAAGATTTAAACAGTATTGTAACATTTCTTTATTAATGTGTCATCATAACCTCTATCACTGAATGATTTACTCAAATTATTAAAAAGTTTAGTCACATGTATATGATCATGTCAGTAGTACCACTATTTCTTGCAGTCACGTTGTGTCATGATATGCCACTATTCACTCTTTGGTTCTGTGTAAGTTTCCATTTTGGGTTCTGAGTTATGCTTTATTTTATGTTATTCTGTATTGTCAAGATCTATTTCGTTTTTGAATTCTTAGTTTTACTCTTCCAAATTATCTCTTTTCAGCATTTTAGCTATTTTTTATTTATTGATCTAGTTTAATTAGTTATTATTTCTCTTATTCTTATGTTTTCCATGGCTTCAAGAATCTCCAGTTCTTTCTCTTATCCTCTAGTTTTCCTCTTAGTTAATCCTTATTTTGTAATTATTAGTTTTATTCCCCTTTAGCCTTATTTAAGCACTTTTCTCCTTACAGTTAAGGTGTGTTTTTCCTGATTGCTCTTTGTTGCCCCCTTGTGCCCTTTTCCTTCCCCTTTGCTCCTTTCTAGCTGCCTCTATTCCCACCTGCTCTCAATTGATGATAACTCCACTCTTGGTTCTGTCTCCCATATCAAATCCTCCTCTGCAGTTCATCAGTGCTGGTTCCTCTTTATTATCTACTCTTCATGTGTGTTCTCCCTGGTGTCTCCTGGTTTTTTGGATTCCTGTTTATTGTTTTTGGATTGCTTTTGAATGCTTCTGTATCCATTTATTTCCTCATTAATTTAGTAAAACTCATCTCTGCCTCCTCTTCTATGCATCTGGGTCCTCAACCAATCTCCACCCTACCTTGACACACAGCTGCTAGTTCATATTTTGAGATTGTAAATGGTCATTATTATTCTTTGTAGAAAAATCAAACTTAGTCAGATTGAAGTACCTATGTATTTTTGCAGCCCCGAGGTTATCTTCCAGGAATGTCATGTGTTTAGCTCCACATCAACTTAAGTGACTAGTTTTCTTTTGCATATGTGGGTCTCTTTTTGTGCCAGCATAGCTTAGGGCAGCTTAACTCAACCATGCTATACTGTGTTATTATCCAGTCTGCCTTCGTTTGGGTATCAGTTGGAGTGATATCCAGCAATGTGTAGCCTGATTGTAATTTGAATTGACAATGCTATAATACCAATACTCTACAAGTGTTGATTAACTTCCTTAATGCCTACTTTCTGCAGACAACCACTCTGATTGGCCTGCTGAAGACAGCGAGGCTCCTGCGATTGGTGCGTGTTGCCAGAAAGCTGGACCGTTACTCTGAATATGGAGCTGCTGTCCTAATGTTGCTCATGTGTATCTTTGCCCTAATTGCTCACTGGTTGGCTTGTATATGGTATGCCATCGGCAATGTGGAGAAGCCCTACCTAGAGCACAACATTGGCTGGCTCGACAATTTGGCATTGTCCATAGGGAAGAGATACAACGGCAGTGATCCAAACTCTGGTCCTTCCATCAAGGACAAGTATGTCACAGCCCTTTACTTCACTTTCAGCAGTCTCACAAGTGTGGGATTTGGGAATGTTTCCCCCAACACCAACTCAGAGAAGATCTTTTCCATATGTGTCATGTTAATTGGGTGTAAGTATTGCTGCTTTTCCATTTTATCTGTTTATATTAAGTCTCTCAAATTTTAATGGTAAAATTCTAGCTGAATGTATTGTTGCTCATACAAACACTGTCATTATTTCAGCCCTTATGTATGCTAGTATCTTTGGAAACGTATCTGCCATCATCCAGAGACTTTACTCCGGAACAGCTCGCTACCATGCTCAAATGTTACGGGTCAAGGAGTTTATCCGCTTCCATCAGATCCCTAACCCTCTCAGACAAAGGCTGGAAGAGTACTTCCAACACTCATGGACCTACACCAATGGCATTGACATGAACACGGTAAATAAATAAAAATCAAATCCTTTAGAACAGAATAGGATATCCAACCACAATCCTTGCATTAATGACTCTAATTCTAAAAAAGCTTTCCTTCTTTTCTCTCCCCTACATCTGGACTGTCACCTCTTCACTGGTAAGAGCAGGAGGTACAGTTGCCTACATCAATTTGCTAATATTTACTTTTATTTTAAATATATTCAGTTCATAGCAATCATCGTGCTAAGCATTTATGGGAAGACTGTTCATAGAAAAGGCATAGCCATCCTACAGAGCTGAAAAATATGTTCTACTTAATGCCGCTATAAACATTTTATTTTTATGGTAAGTTTAAACATTTTAGTCAGGACTTAAAAAGGGTTTATTATTTATTATTAGAGTTATTGTAGTGTGAAGGTTACTCAGATATGCAGAGTGTACTGTAAGTAATACAGATTAGTTAGATCAATTATGATAATGTGGCTAATTTGTGGTTAAATTGTCATAACAATATTGTTTTGCAGCAAAATTTACCACACAAAGTGGCAATATCTCAGCACTTTGAATTTATTAGCCTACGCCAACATAAAAACATTTTACTAGATGGCTTAGGATGCTATAAATAAGATCATACCCAGTTAATCTCATACCTGCACTAAAGAGAAAACTCTTACAGCATTTTCATTTACAAAACAGAAAAAAAAAAATCCTGATTATTTGGTGCTGAAGGATGAAGCTACCAACCAAAACAGGTGGGGCCAAATACCAGCTCCATTCTTAAAAAGGTTGTTGCATTTTATTTTCATGCTATTTTTTTTTTATTTAGTGGTTACTTACACAGAAAGTGAAGATTCATTACATGAAAAATATAGACAGGAGGATAAACACATCTGTGCTCAGAGAAACTGAGAAAGCAAAATATTACAGAAGTTTAAACCAAGTTTATTTTGGAGGGTTTGCTCTTTTAAACATTTAGGTAAGTGATTTGACTGGAAATATTTTTCATGCTCGGTTATCAAAAATGAGTCCGAGGAGTTTATAAGTGTTATATTGCCTCTAATCTTTACAAACTGGGTAAATAATTGTCCTCATGTGTAATTACTTACTCAGGGTAAATGTTGAAGTATTATAACGATTATTAAAAAAGTGCTTAGACAAATTGCTGTGAGTTCTTAAAAAAACGTGTTGTTCTAAAATGGTGAAAATGTCCTTCTAGTCTTAAATCTCTTTCAGATAAGCTGAAAGCTTGGATTTGATGCAAGCTAAGCTAGATTTAAACTAAATGGAATGACTGATCAAAAGAACAAAATGTTTGATGCAGCAGATCAAGTTGTGCCACTTATACAACCTTTTGATCCATAAAAATAACAAGAAATAAAGGAATACAGAAACATAAAAGAATTTGAGAGCTTGTTTGACTTTCTCTGACGACTGCAAATCTTCTATGTGTACTACCTTTATTAAAGTTAGTGCTAAATAACATAAATATTAAATAAATGATCAAGCTCATCAATAAAACACATAAATTAAGACAACTCTATATAAGCCAAGCTAAAGTGCTCCTTTCAGACTAAATCTATCTAAGTCAAAGATTTATATTCAATATTTATAAAAACACCTAAAATTTTCACTGTGTTTTCCTATAAAGTTTTTTTTTTCCAAGTAATAATTTTGTATTTCCATTTTATATTTCAGTATAGTGAGTTATGGTTTGTACCTGATTATGAAAGCACACCAGCATTGTGTGTTAGATCATTTTGTCAGTGTGTATATTTATCTTGTGAAATAGTTAAAGATAGATCAATATTTTGTGTGCTAGAAATGTCACTAGTAACACTGATGATGATAAAGATTTGAACATGTAGGCAAAAGGTCTTTACAGACAATTTCAACTGAAAGGCTATTAGCAATCAGTCAAAGCAAGACCACAATCAATAAATATTATAACAAGACAGAACAAAGTCACATTTTTAAAAGGAGTGGGAGGAAGTGTAGGCAAGCACACTTAATATTAATTAGCAGGTTCATTAATTTGTGACACCCAGTATTTGTTTAATGGCTACTACTCTTTCTGGTTTAGCAAGATGTACATAGTCTTTTCAAGCCAGAAAAAATAATAAAACATGATGTGTTTTGGGAAATATGTATTTTTTTTTGTTTGTTTCACTTATGAAACTATGTGGCTGGTTTTGCTTTCTCTCTAAAGTATAAATCTAATTATTTTGTTTGCTGGGTTTTAATCTAATTCATACATAATTTTCATTTGTGCATATGCAGTTATTTTTTTCCCCTGAGAACAGCGTCCAGTTAAACTATATGCTTTCTGAATGTTGTCCTTTATGGAAAATAACAGATTGTTCTTGTGTCACAGGTGTTGAAAGGTTTTCCTGAATGCCTGCAGGCAGATATCTGCCTCCACCTTAACCAAAATCTTCTAGAGAACTGCAAAGCATTCCAAGGGGCGACTAAAGGGTGCTTGAGGGCGTTGGCCATGCGCTTCAAAACTACTCACGCTCCTCCTGGAGACACTCTGGTCCACAGTGGCGATGTTCTCACGGCTCTCTATTTTCTGTCCCGTGGCTCTATTGAGATCCTGAAGGATGACATTGTGGTAGCTATTCTGGGTAAATATACAATGATGGATGGATGGATGGATGGATGGATGGATGGATGGATGGATGGATGGATGGATGGATGGATGGATGGATGGATGGATGGATGGATGATTAGAAAGTCTCCAGCTTTGTGCACTGTGTGAACTGAGTCATATAAACATTGTATTTAGTTGACCTTTTCTAGAGTATAATTATTCATGCTTAAAAGTAAGAGCCCCTATTAAACATCAAATCCTCATCATTTCTGTAATAAGTGATTTTGTACAGAAGGTCAACACAGTGTCCTTCATCTGGAAGTGCAGAAACCTCTAAAAACACATTTTCTTTATTCAAACCTGCAATTCATATGTTTACACTTTGCAAATGGGAAAATTAAAGGATATCAATCTGATGCAACTTTCAAATCCCTGGGAAACCTTATATAAGCATTATTGCTTTGAAAAAGCAAGCTAGAAGCAATTAATGGTCAAATGCTTCCAAAATAATTTTTTATTTATTAGCACTCCTTAGCTAACTCGGGTATATTTACATTGTATTAATGTTGATTAATGTACACTGTCCCCTTTCAAATAAACAATAAATGAAATTAAAGAATAAATAATAAAGACTCCAGAGACCAATGCAAGGAGTATTTCCCTGCATGATGGAAACAATTAAAAAGAATGCAGTAGGTTGAAAGGGTTATTTATTGAAGGTAGAAACCCCTCCCATTGAGACTGTAGGGAAATGGTTAGTTGGTGCTTGCCCTCCTAGGGGAGATTGCTTTGGCCCTATTTCCCAGCAGAGCACAAATATCTTTAAGAAGTTCTACATCAAGTTCAGGTCAGTGACTTTAAAGTCTTTACGAGCCCTTATATCACTGTCTCTGGGCTTGAATTTAATAAGACATTTGTCCCTGGCTGGAAACAGTTTCTAAAAATGTGCATAACACTGACATTATACAGATTTATGCAGCATGGGCCAACAGCTTTGTCTTAGGGAGGCTGCAAGGAGAAGCTTTACGGTTCTCATGACATACACATCTCTTTGATTGCTCTTGAACAGAGAGCCTCTCCACCACTGTCGACTTCTTCACTGACACTGTGGCAGTTGGAGGTAAAGCAGGAGAATAACAGCAGGGTAGAGACAGCTCACATGTAGCATGCAGCACATGGAACACAAAGATAACACAAAGCCAGGATCACTGGAGGACCATAGCTGGGTGGCTCATCATGCGGTTGACATGGCAATCCTTCACGCTTTGTCAGGAGAGAAATTCTGGATATCCATGCAAAATTTGGATTTGTATTCGGATATGTTTGAATTTAGGCATTCAATTTTCTTCCATGGGTTTGTACTCGGAGCACTACTTTGACAAATAGAAGTTGGCACAGAGACAGCTGCCTTGAAAGGTTAATAGTAATTTTTCTGGTGACATACTCTCCCACCTGAGTTGTGCATTGTTGCAGTTCCTCCACTGGTACTTTGGTCCTTATGTTTTTTTTTTTTTTATAATTACCTTTTTTTTTCGTTGGTAGGTCTATAGGTCTATTTGTTTTGTTAAAATCTCTACTTTAAGATGGCTGTGTTCTGTTTTTTAAGGTAATTATGTGGAAAATATTAAAAAGGTTAAAGTGGTTTTGCAAGACACTTTAGGAATGTAAACAAGTGGTCTTTTTTTTATAACAGTCCTGCAATGCTTTTTTTTTTTTACTAGTTCCTTTGTTTCAACCTCATTATATCTCTAAGCCTGATATGCTCATAATACTGAGCCATTTTTCCCTTCATAATAACACAGTAAACCTGGTTGTATTGTTTCACGGGTGTGAAATTAGTCTGCTGCACTAGCGATTATCTAAATCCTTGTGTTGAGAGCCGCTTGTTGGGGAGAAATGTATCACTCTGTGTGAGGCTTGCCTCTGCAGTAGAAAGGTGTCTAGTGCTTGCTGTGAAAGAAGCACTGGCAGCCAGCGTATCATATCTCTTTTTCCTGAACCCCTGCATACACAGTTGGCATTTAGTGGACCCCACACAGCAACAAAGGGATGTTTCATGATGGCCTTTAGACCAGACCTCTTGTCCTTTGCGAGAATTGGACTATAATAGGTGAATTTATAGTTTATTTTTTTCACCTTTTGAAAACTAAGCTTTTTGTACAGCAGATTCCATTATATTCTACAAGTTTGCTGAAGAGCTGGCCTTATTATGTTTTGTCTCCCACTAACCCGGATATTTCCTTTGAAGTGCACAACAAGTAATGTTTGTCAATCACCAACAGCCCTCCTATTTTTACCTCACATCAAAGTTGCTCTGTGTTAGTGGTATTCCTCAGGATGAATAATGGATCAAAGATAGATAGGCAGCTGATGCCCAGGCCTTGGGAAAACATCTTCAGAGTGAGGAGACCTGATTTGATTTTCATTAAGCACAAAAAGAAACACTCCCTCTGCTCTATAGCGATAAACAACAAACAACTCGATCTCCCATTGGAAATCTGATATAAATTATCCTGTTTGAGCACCTAGGTAAATTGGAAGTATTTCTCTATTTTACTAATTGCATCTCTTGTGTATCCTCAACAGGAAAAAATGACATATTTGGAGAAATGATCCATCTTTGCACCACACCCGGGAAGTCAAACGCTGATGTGCGCGCTCTGTGTTACTGTGACCTGAGTACCATTCAGAGAGAAGACCTGCTGGAGGTGCTGGATATGTACCCAGAATTTGCTGACTACTTCTTCAACAACTTGGAGCTTACCTTCAACCTCAGAGATGAACCAATCAAGGTTGAGAAATTATAAAATCTGTTTAATGAAGCATACAATTTCTCTCAGCCGTTGAAGTGCATGCATTACATGTATGTTAACCTGTATGATTATTTTAGGGTTTCTACTTATAGATTTGTGCAACACAATATTAAGGTGATTCCTAAAAATCAAGAAGTGGATGCAATAGATTGACTTTTTAGGGGATTTCTTAACTCCACACTGAACACTAAGGTTTAAATACAAACATCCTCAATATTATTTGGGCATGTGTTACTTAGCAAGGCAAATACTGACTACTGAATACCTTTGTTTTAGGGATGCA